ATAACTGAGTAACTTGATGAGGCTCAAATAAGACTATTCAGAAAAGTGAATACTAAATAGTCACATAAATTTAGTAACTTCATTAAGCTTGTAAAATACAAGGCAGGAAAAAAATTATAATTAAATAAGTAAATATATTGAGCATGTTCCCTTTTCGTGCTTTTCATTCGTTCCCACACACATTTGTTCTTTTGTTACACTTTCGTTCGTTTTAATCAATCCATTTTTCTCGTTTCGTTAATTCTTTCCTTCTATTCTTTGTTTCATCTTAAACACTGTCGGTCGTTCATTTCTTCAAGTAGCTTCTTTGTTTGATTTTAAAAATACGTTCTATGAAAAAGAAACTACACCAGAAGAATTTAAAGCAGTGTTAAAAAAACTACCGATTTCTTGAATGTAAAAAGTCCTTTTCAGTTCTTTTAGAAATTTCAAAAGCTGCTGTCATTAGCTACCGATTACTAAAAGTACTAAAATGTCTATTACATTATTTTTTAACTTGACTGAGTTTTGCTTGGTTGTAACAAATAACGAATTGCGTTCAATAGCGAGGTCAGTTAATAATTAAACTGCCAGATAATTTCTGTTGTTGTATTGATTATTTATCAAAGACTGGGTCGCATCATCAATGTGCTGACCGCTTTGCATGGCGGGAACTTGCGGGGTTCCATTTTGACCAAAACCGGTTGCTGCGTCTGGATAGGCCTGCGGCAATCCGGGATTACAGAAGACCTTTTTCTTCAGGGTGTATTCAGCCGAGCTTGTTTGAGAGATGAAGAGCCATCTGTAGAGCCAGGAGAACTGAAGAAAAGTGGCAAACCAAAAGAACTGTTCGTTCATCCAAAAGGGTACTGCATTCGTATTGGGACACAAGACAACGTATGGCTGGTGATTTGGTACACTGTCCTTACGCGAAAACTCGTAAAAGCGATTCAAGTGACTTGTTTTCTGAATCAAAGCCAACTTTTGAGTTTCAAATGATGGTACAGCCTCTCCCTCAAGTGTGATATCTATATTAATTGAAAGTCTGACAAGCCCGCTACCACCGCTGGCCTCACGATTGGATTCATCGACCCACGATGAGTAAAGAAATGGCTGACGCACGGTCTTCTTTCCGACTTTTTTCCACTCGTCTGTTGATCCTTCGTAATCCCTACGCCCTGTAATGGGATCCGTCCTGTACACTGCTTGGCGGTAGTGTTTCCAGTCATACCACTCTATCACCATCTCAATCACAGGGGCAGCCATCTGGAGGGATCTGATGTATTCCCAAGAGACCAGATTATGCAAAGCCTCTCTCTCGCGGGAAAAGAAAGCTTCTATTATAACAAACGTTGCGCAGACTCCGCACATTGCAACAGCCCAGTAAAAGAGAGAGGATCCAGAATTTCCTTCATCTTTGGACAAATAGACAAATACAGCACACAGCCATACCCAAAACGTGAAGTTAAAGAAGGCGGAGAATACCTGTACCATTAGCTTGTAACGTCCTTGAGTTGCATTGTCTACAGACGCCAAACGTTCAGGAGTTCCTATTTGAGTAGTTCTACAACCATGGACAAGTTTAGCTATTATTATACCCAACCAAATAAAAACTGGGCAAATAATGTGACAAGCAAAGAAAGCAATGACGAAAATCATAAATGTTTCTGACTTATCGGAGGGCTCTTCACCAACGGGAACTTGGTTTTGCGAGGGGTTCTCCGGGGGGTGTGGTTGAGGGTCAGGAGTGACCGGTGGTGGATTGATGGTGGCTGGTCCTGGGACACGACAAGATGCCTCTGATTCAAGTATCCAAGACTTACTTCCACTGTTTTGCTCGCAAACGTAAAACTCCACAGGTGAAGATCTGTAACCTGCCAAGCAGAACGAAGTCGCAATGTCACCCGGACGTTTTCCAGCGTGGACGACACTGATGGAAGAAGCTGGGACTCCTGGGTCGGAACACCCATCTTTATTTTCACACCGCGGTCCGTATGTATAATCTTGACAAAGGCAGACTGTCTCGTTGCCAGAAGTATAAATACAGGTACCCCGTCTATTACAAGAATCACTGCCACGACATTCGTTTTCTCCGTTGGCGAATCCTCGACATTTGATTCTCAATCCACTCTCCGTAGTCCATTCCGTTCCACTCCAAACTTGCCAGTAATTTGTCACGTACTCTGGTCTGACTGCGAAGTCTTCCACGCGAAGTATATCATTAGTTGAATCAGAATAACTATTACCCACCCTCCAGTGACCATCCCGGTAGTACAAATACCAGTTTTGTCGGTTGTGTTTGAATACGGGTCGTATCGTTGAATAAACTCCCGGCACCGTTGCGAAATAGTCTGTTCGAGGATCATTCAGAACAGCAGTTCTACTTGCGGTGATAGTGTCATTCAAGTAAACTTTACCTGAATCGCAGCGAAAATATTCATCGTCGACACAAATGGCTTTGATGTAAGGTGGACCTTGAGCGGTTTTGAATGTATTGTCAAGCGGGGAGTAATATAACCAGTTCGTTATCACATCGCCAAATAAATCTTTCTTGTTTAGCGATTCAGATGACAGCCACATTTTTGGATCAAAATCGTCCGGTAGGCGTCCTACAAGGCCAAAGATCTCTGTTGTTTTAGGTCCAAACACTAAAAACTTCCCGTTCGTTCCTGGCGTCGTAACAACATCATAGTAGAAGAATAGACCTGAAGGTTTGTTAAGGTACACAGGAAAGCCATCTTTATCCGAGAACAAATCGTAGACTCCTTCAACTTGTACCAATGGATTAACGTTCTCATCGATGTTCTGGAAGAATATTTTGGAGCACATTTTCTTTTGGGCTACACTCGGCCCAATTGTTATCAAGATTAACGTTAGGCTGCATAGCGAATACAAATGAAGAGAGGTCATCTTGCTCAGAGCGCTGACTGCTGAAAGATTGCCTTTCAAATGGGAAGTAAAAGCGACGGAAGTTAGATTTCGCAATGTAAGATAGGTTGCGCTTCAACGACGTTTTAACGGAAGTAGTTACTGTCACGCAAGGAATAAAACGCCTACTTTTCTCGGCTTCAACTCAAAAGAAACGACAAAATCATTGCTGTTATTGGTTTTTTTGTTCGTTTTTCTCAAGAGTGAACAAGAAATTCAAAATCCCTCACATGAAATGAAATGAAATTTTATAACATGAGAAAACGAAGTGTACTGTATTTGAAAACGTGGCGGTAGGGCGCGGTGCACGTGGACGAAACCAAAATTGGGATTGCGTCAAATGTTTCTATTTATAGTGTGTGACTTGTCGTAATCATAGATTGCCGGGGTGGAAGCTGGGCAATTATTTCTCTTTCTTTCAGCGTCAGGTCGTGCATGAGATAGTTTTCGATTTGTTCTATATGTTTCTTTTGCGTGACTACCTTTGCATGATTTTTCCAGGAATTTTCTTTTCTTGGTGACTGCTCAACTCTATCAAAAATAGAATGGGTCACCCATTAGATATCTTACAATAACTGCAGAAATTGTGAACGAATTGACGTCCGTTTTTCACGCGTATGTCCTGTTATTGATCATGAATTTCGTAATAACATTGTCAAAGGTTTCTGTGGATCTACTCCCCCAGACAACTTTGACGATGTTATGACGAAATTCATGATCAATAACAAGACAGACGCATGAAAACTGATCTCAACTTGTTCAAGCGCGTAAACTCTACTCATGTCTACTCTCTTCTCGCCTGTCACACATTAGGCGTGCGTTCTGCGTCAATTTTTTACTTTCATTCAGCTGGTTTTTAATGTTACAGTATGGAATATTTCGTTTGGTGACCGAAATTTCGTCTGTTCGTAATCTGCATTGTAAATGGTTTGAACCNAAGATGACTTCCGCTCAGGTTGTCGAAACGTCAGTCACCAACAACAGTTCTTTTCAGAACTACACTCACCCGGACGATCACACTATACGAACTAGTAATCTGCATTGTTTGGCTTCAATATTCGACAGATTTCCCCCCTTTTTTTGTCGCTTCCTCGATCTATCAAACTGAAGAAGACTGCACAAATCACGAAAACAGGTGCTGAGAATATTTACCTGACCTGAACGGTTTTTATTGATAAACTGTTGAATGCTAATTGCCAGCAAATATTGCGCATACTTCTATATGGGACAGCAAAATTCCCGGAGTTTTGGACTGGGACCATCTCTTACTAAGCCAATAATGACGAAAAGACGAACCGTTTCACTAGGTAATGGTCAAATAACGGAGAGAGACCCCCCCGCTGGAAGACTCTCATTTTAAAAGGACGAGGGTGCTCGGCCTAGCTTTTAGGGGTAAAAAAGTAGTTTTGGTACCTCTCCGCGTGTTCAGCCTCAACAGGTCCGCAGCGAGGGCTTTTGCGGTACCATTGAAGGTACGGAGCCGAAAAAAATCTGACACGAGATAATGTGTTGTTTTAGAATTGGTACCTCTAAGGGGTGAAAAACATTTTAAGCCACTCCCATAAAACAGGATCTTGGTACCTCTAAGGGGATGTTTTCAAAATTTTCAACGAGCACCCCCGATCGCTCCTATCATAGCCAGGACACACCGTCACAGTTTACATGACGCGATATGAGATTGCCTGGTTACAAAGTCCAACGCAAGATCAACGTGCAGATTTGTTGTTGAAGAAAACTACTTTTTAGAACGTTTTCAAGATGACAGACGTAGCAGAAATCGAGGACCAAAGCCGAAGAAATGAACTCGAGGCAGAGATGTCACGGTAATGTTAATTTATTGTTTGTATAGAGCTCACAANGCTTTTGCGGTACCATTGAAGGTACGGAGCCGAAAAAAATCTGACACGAGATAATGTGTTGTTTTAGAATTTGTACCTCTAAGGGGTGAAAAACATTTTAAGCCACTCCCATAAAACAGGATCTTGGCACCTCTAAGGGAATGTTTTCAAAATTTCCAACGAGCACCCCCGCTCCTAGCATAGCCAGGACACACCATCACAGTTTACATGACGCGATATGAGATTGCCTGGTTGCAAAGTCCAACGCAAGATCAACGTGCAGATTTGTTGTTGAAGAAAACTATTTTTTAGAACGTTTTCAAGATGACAGACGTAGCAGAAATCGAGGACCAAAGCCGAAGAAATGAACTCGAGGCAGAGATGTCACGGTAATGTTAATTTATTGTTTGTATAGAGCTCACAAAAGTGATCATCTGTCAAAGAGTCGAACTGCAATGATGTGAACGTAGCTTGAGACTTTTCAACTCTTTCACTGAGTTGTGAGCCCACAATACAGTGTTAATTTCTGATTCTGTCAGCTAGCTGCAATATTTCAACACGCTTTTGGAGGGTTTCGGAAAAAATTGTAATCAGTTCTCCCTTCTGAAGACTTGTCAGTTGGAAATTATCACCATAGCAAAATTCTCGAATCTGATTGGCTGTCAGTAATAAGACAGTGCACAATCATGTGTGTTATTATACATTGAACTCACTATCTCTTTTCTGATTGGCCAAAAGCATACAGTGAATTTTTGAAATCAGCACCTGTGACATCATAACTGCAGATCATGCAATAATCATGTCAAGGACACTCAAGGTCATGGGTAATCATCATGTATGACCGCAGTGCATGATTTCTAAGGGTAATCATGTCAAGTTCGCACGCTTTGTGTTGCTTGCCATCAGTGAAGAAGCAAAAACGTGACTTCCATTTTTTTTTTCGTTCAATGTATAATCTGACAATTATCAGATTCGGCTTTTGTGATATCCAGAATAATCAAGGTCTTGGTGAGGGTTATCAACCTCAGCCTTCGGCCTTGATTATTCTGGATATCACAAAAACCTCATCCAATAATTGTTTATAACTGTACGGTGTGCATCATTTGTAATGTGCCATTACTGTAGACAGATTTCTTTTCTCGTGCACCTTAATCAAAAGCAAACTTGGATTCATAGTCACGGTTATGGTTTATAAGCGCTTAATGACTGGCCCCAAGGGAAACAGTGAGTTTTGTTTCCCCGAGACCTTCAATGTTGCCCAAGGCGAAGTTGAGGGGAACACTGCGGTCACGCGGAAACAAAACTCACTGTTTGCCATGGGGTTAGTCATCAAGTGTTTTGTTATACCTCCCAACTCAAATATAGGAAAAACTGCGAAAATGTTATTTGCTTCAAGCTGGCAGACACATCAAATTTGCCGCGGTTTCAAGGTGCATGACCTCACCACGTGTGAGTCGAAAGTTCAAGTTGTTGTTTCCCTTGGGAGTTAGTGAGTTTTGGTAGCCCGAGGGAGTTAGTAAGTTTTGATCCATGACACGTAGCACGTTCTCCTCCTATTGCAAAATGTATTTGAGTTGGGAGGTATAACAATAACTTTTGTTACACATGTGTCTTCATTTAATGGTGACAGGACCTCGCATTGTCCAATTCTGTCTGCAATAAAACTTGTGATTAAACAATTAGACTTCTGCTATGTGGTCTTCTAATTTTGTTAATCTCTTGTTTGACCCAGTTGACCTGCCTTTGAGTCTACCAACATCTTATAAAATTATTTTTTTATGTCAAAGGCCTGCAACATTTTCCACTTTATGAGAAGCTGAAGTGCCAACTAATTCAGGTGGCATGCTTCTCATGTTCATGTTTTTTACTTTTAAAATTTTGGTTCGGTGAGTTAACCATCAAATATGTAAGGCTTGGCAGATAAGAGGAGTAGCATTGAACCCATCCTAACGTACAACATTATTGCTTTTCAGGTTTGAACAAGAAATAGCAGAACATCCCATCTCAAGGCCAGTCATAGCAACTAACACATTTAACATGGCCTCAAAAGCAATTCAAAATGCTGTTGTAATACCAGACACTAAACCTGTACAAGACATTCGAACCAACAATCGTAATTTCACACCAAGACCTCAAGCCGTTCATCCACGCCCGTTATTACAGCCTCGACATTTAGGACCTCCAGTTGTTCGAGGTACATTTAATCAAGTTCCACCACACATGCAAGGTCCAATCCAACAGCCTGTGCAAGCCCCACCAAATCAGTTACCCACGCCTCCAATGGCACCTAGAATGACCTTACCACATGGGATCCCTCCAATGGTCCCTCAGATGGTCCCTACCCCAGGAGCTCTTCCGGTTATGGCCCCTGTTGGTGTACCCATGGTTCCTGTGCCCATGCCTGTGGCATTACCTGGTATGCCTGTGGCAGGGCCTGTTACTGCCACAGGTATGCCAAGGATGACACCTGAAGAACAGAAGGAATGGGAATCAACTTATTCTCAACCTGGGACTGCAGAGGCAAAAGATAAAAAGAAACCTAAAGAAAAGAAGTTTGTGAGAGTTGCAGGCAGCACAGTCTGGGAGGATAACTCGTTAGCAGAATGGGAACAAGGTAAGCTACACCAATTTTTTGACACCACAAGAATGCAATTTCTTCTCCAACGAGGTCCAGTGTTGACCTGACAAAAGCCCACTTTGGATGGACAATATTTTCTTCATACTTTTACTTTGGTTAAGTCCATGTGCGAGCCTAGTCACAGGGTTCAAAGTAAATGCAAAGCAGTTAACCTGAATTTGCAGGCCTTTTTTGTCAAGTCTGTTTTTTAGCCCGCTGAAGATGAAGTCGACAATGATGCTGACTTCAGTGACATTGCATCAAGATAAGCATGTAATGCAAAATTTGCATTCTATGGATTGCATTCAATATTTAAAGAGAAAATGAAATACTTTCGCTTTCTGCTCGTTGTTTGCTCTGTGAAAATATCTGGGCACTAAAACAATCAACCGTGAATGGATTCTGATTATTTTAAGTTTTCCATTGCCTAGCATGTGACCTATTTCTTCCCTGAACGGAAATGTTATTTTCGTACAAGAGACTGTAAAAGGTAAACATTTAATTGTGACCCAATGAAGAAAGTGAACTTGGTCCATTTGGCTGGTTTGATTGAGGCCCACTAACCATTGAGTCACCACACCTCACAAAATTATACCTTGCATAGTGTAGTATTTTAGTGATCTGTCGCAAATATTTTCGTGTAACTGACTGGATGATCTTCCCTGGTCAAATTATCGGGCCAGAGTAATTTTTTTTAACTCTTTGTTGACACCACACTGAGTGAATAAGTCACGCCAGACTAAACTTTCACCAAACGACATGCCAACTTTACCAGAAAGCTTCTTGTCCAAGAACAGATTGTTAAATGACTTTCTCCATGATAACCTTCCTGGCTAGAAAACAACAGAGGACGTTTTAGCNGTGCGAGCCTAGTCACAGGGTTCAAAGTAAATGCAAAGCAGTTAACCTGAATTTGCAGGCCTTTTTTGTCAAGTCTGTTTTTTAGCCCGCTGAAGATGAAGTCAACAATGATGCTGACTTCAGTGACATTGCATCAAGATAAGCATGTAATGCAAAATTTGCATTCTATGCATCGCATTCAATATTTAAAGAGAAAATGAAATAGTTTCGCTTTCTGCTTGTTGTTTGCTCTGCAAAAATATCTGGGCACTAAAACAATCAATTGTGAATGGATTCTGATTGTTTTAAGTTTTCCATTGCCTAGCATGTGACCTATTTCTTCCCTGAACGGAAATGTTATTTTCTTACAAGAGACTGTAAAAGGTAAACATTTAATTGTGACCCACTGAACAAAGTGAATGGGGTCCATTTGGCTGGTTTGATTGAGGCCCACTAACCATTGGGCCACAACACCTCACAAAATTATACCTTGCATAGTGTAGTATTTTAGTGATCTGTTGCAAATATTTTTGTGTAACTGACTGGATGATCTTCCCTGGTCAAATTATCAGACCAGAGTAATTTTTTTAACTCTTTGTTGACACACCACACTGAGTGAATAAGTCACGCCAGACTAAACTTTCACCAAACAACATGCTAACTTTACTAGAAAGCTTCTTGTCCAAGAACAGATTGTTAAATGACTTTCTCCATGATAACCTTCCTGGCTAGAAAACAACAGAGGACGTTTTAGCCACAACATTGAATGAGCTGCAGCTTACACCTGTAGACTGATTGTTTTTTAGCCAGAGGGTTTTCAAGGCTGTGGTCTAAAAAAGATATTGAGGAGCCCAAATATATGTTCCTAACCATGAAATCCTGGATGCCCAGCACTTACGCTTACGTGAAAAAGTACATTTTTCTAGTTGCCCAAAGGCAAATGTTAGGCACTTCTAGAGCACAGCCCTGGTTTTATAGGAGAAACGTGATCTGTAAATACAACAACATTGGTATGTTATATGACCTTGCTCTTTGTTTTGTTTTTTCTTTTTCAGATGACTTTCGAGTGTTTTGTGGTGATCTTGGCAACGAAGTGACTGATGAGATTTTAAGTAGAACATTCTCAAAATATCCATCTTTACTGAAGGCTAAAGTTGTTCGCGACAAAAAAACAAACAAGAGCAAAGGATATGGGTTTCTTAGTTTTAAGGATCCCAATGACTTTGTCAAAGCTATGAGAGAAATGAATGGTAAGCAGTGCCTCTGTGAAGTTTATGTTAAAGACTATATAAAATAATAGCCTCCATTTGACTTGGAAATATGCTCGAATGTTTGTCCGCAGACATTATCTGTTCTGAGAAGCAAACAGTTTTCTGAGAGCAAAGCTAAGGAAAACTGTGAGCTTTGAGGAACAGATAATGTCAAAGGGCAAATACACAAGCATATTTTTGCACGAAATGGAGGCTATTGTGTTTATTGTCCTTCAAATATTTTTCACAACATGTACGGTTTTGAAAATCAGGGAATATCACTCGGGTATTCCCCAGTTTTTGTTGGGGAATATTCAGTCACGCCATGCATTTAGACCTATCGCGTGCGAGCAGAAATATTTGATGGATTATAAGTAATGTTATTGCAACAATACATAGTTGTTGTTGTTATTAATTTATATGAAACAGTGTTGTGAGGAAAGATTCAGAAGATGTAAAGGTGAGACTGTAAACCATTCATTGTCAAAAGTGTAGTACAATATGTCCCCAACAGGCCATATTAATTTTGTGTCCTTGGTATTGGACCTAGAGTCCCAAGGACGTTTGGCTAGGATTGTAGCTTGCAATAGAGGCTCATGCAGGGGAATGTCATCAAAAGAGATCACTGTCGTGAACAGTTGACAAGACTCCCCATATTAGACTCAGTTGTAAGCTAGATCCAGTTCAATGCCAGGAATACGGATATGGTCTATTAGTACAGCAGTGCCAAACACTTCAACACTTGAATAGATTATGTGATTTTTATTTAGTACATATTTCTGTTTGGTTTTCTTACTTATAAAAAATTAAATACACCTTACATGTAGTCCATAGTTTTCAGATAATATGGGCAGATGTTTTATGAGTTTTGTTGTAGTTTTCTGAACCCCTTGGGGGCAGGTAAAGAAATGTGGGAAATGAGCATGTAAGAAATAAGTGGTGTATCAACAAGTTGTTACAGATCTGTTAAACTATGGAATGAGAAATTAAGCTCCCATAAACCATGTCTCCTATTTTGCTTGTCCTGTGAACTTTATAGGTTAGATAATCTAAAAGTGGAATAGTATTTGCTAAATAAGTATTGAATGACTATTCTATTCAATTTTCCAGTCATCCAGTAGTAAAACATATTTCTCCTTTTCCTTCTATCTTATTTGATTGGTGTCACAAAAAAATATTTATTTTTCTCTTTTTCAGGAAAATATATTGGTAATCGACCAATCAAACTAAGGAAAAGCACTTGGAAAGATCGTAATATAGAAGTTGTCAAGAAAAAAGCGAAAGAAAAGAAGCGCTTGGGATATAGATAGCAGTTTGTTACTTCAGTGAATCCTTTAAAAGTCTTACATTATTTCAACCCATCATGTAAATGTTTCAAGCAATTAGGTTGCAGTGTAAGTAAGTTTATGTATATATAATGTTATGTTAAATAAAGGTGTTTTTCCAAGATATCTGTTAAGTATTAATTGCAATTCCTGTCTTTACAGTGGAGTGAAATTTCATGGCTTATGAAAATGTGAAATGTCTAAATCTGTCCTTATCTGTTTTCCTCCCTGTGCATTGTGCTTATTTTAGTTGCATTCTTAAAAAAAAAATAGTAATAGGTCTTTTACAACAATTGTTGGTCTTGAGGTATTGTCATGATAAAAACAAGAATTAAACAGGATGTGGCGAGGAATTACAGTCATGATTTTTAGAAATCAGGGTCCCATATGATGAGTCTGTTGAGTCCAGGAACCCTGGATTCAACTATTGCACTCTACCTTTCACTGGCTTTGTCTGAGGAGAGAACTATTTCTGTGATTGGCCCAGGTTCAATATACTTTTCACCGTCTTCTCCCAAGGGGAGAAGTATTTCTGTGATTGTCCTAGGTTTCAACTCCAGAGGAAAACCAGTAGAATGTGGTTTATGTCATAACATTCTGATAATAACCCCTGGGCTTGTATCTCTTCAAAAGCATTGTTTGGTAGGCTTATATAATGATTGCTTTTTTAGGTGGGGGTGGGGTAGGGAGTTGTTGCTTATTTCATTGGAAGAAATTTTTTTCTCAAATGTATTTGCAGTGGATTTTAACAGTGGAAATATGTTGAAATGGCTTACCTTTTACCAGTACTACACCAAAATGGCTCCCCTAGAAGTCAATTCACCATGCAAGTACACAAGAAAGCACAACTTTAATGTATGAAAATTATCAGGGTTTTCTGAGAAAGTAGATTTATAGAGAAGTTGTATATTCTCCAGAAAAAGGTAACTAATGGTTATTCAGAGATAAAAAACAAAACAAAGTTTGGTAGGGAAAATTACAACTGTCATACTTCCGTTGTAGTTTTTTGTCTGTGAAACCATTAAAATAAATATGGCCAAATTTCATGGAAGGTAACATTTTTAAAGTCTTTCTAACTCTTGCCTGCACTGAATGCTGAAAAGCAGCCTTGTACTTGTTGCAAGGTGGGTTCAATTTAACCTGCTGTTTACCCTGAGGCTACCTTTGAACAGCAGAACTAGTGTGCAGATCAATTTTAACTGAAGGTTGAGTTGATCATCATCTTTTTTAAGTTGGTAAAGGTGATTAGGCATCACATCAACTGTTAAACCAAGGGAGGAAGGTCATTGTGTAGTTTCAGAAAATATCCATACCTTTCCCACAGAAGGGATTTTTTTTGTAACACCTCCCCACCCCTCTGGAAATTCCAATTAAGCTTCATACATTTCTTTAAATTTTTTGGTCTTCCAGAAACCCCCACCCCCCAGGAAATTCCAATCCCTTCTGTGGGGGAGTATGGATATTTTCTGGAACTGCACAATTCATCTCTAGTATAAATTCAGCGAATATATAAAGGTGATTGTATGTTTGGGCCCGGCTCATGCCAGTTCATGCCAGCTCATGCCAGTTCATGCCAGCTCATGCCAGCTCATGCCAGCTCATGCCAGTATGTATGTACAGTCTCCTCACTCAAATCAGCTCCATGCACATGTACATGTGTGGTTTCCTTAAGGACTGCATCAGTGGGGCCATGTGTGCGTATTTTAATTTGATTAATTTGAAAGCCATGACCAGCATTATATCCAGCTAACCCAGTCACATTGATTTGAACAGAAATGTGTCCTCACCATTTTATCACATTCAAAAACATAGCAGCTATGATGTTGTGCTCCAGAATCCTTGGCAATGAAAGCAAACAGCTTCTTGTCACGCTTGTCATCAGCACAGTAGGATATACGATGTAAAGGATATGAATACAGCAGCTCCTAACAACATGTTACATGTAAAGTTAAAAGGATGCAAATATATTGGATATGTCCAAACAGCTGTATCCTACATTGAAAAGTCAACTTCAATTTTCAATGATATTTCAAATTTGAGTGACTGACAAACAGACAGACAGACAGATAGAGAAACAGACAGAAAGACAGACAGACAGACCTATATGCAGAAAAATAGACGGACAGACTAACTGTTAGATGGATGTATTTGCTGACTGACTGGATGACTGATTTTCAGTGATTGATAATTTCTACAAATCAAATCAAATCTGTTAAATCAGAAAAGCAAATGTACCTTCATTTTCGCATCTTCTACTTTTATGTTGTCAATGGAAATCTTAATTTCAACCTTCTTCAGTTTACTGCCTTTTACACCAGTCTCACTCTTTTTAATATGGTTAGCAAACTAAAAAGAGATTTATAGAATATAATTATCAACCGTGAATTATTAAAGCAATGAAATGATACTTGAGGAAGATATTTTACTATCTCTGAGTTCCTTTCTCCACCAAGGGCCCAGCAAAATAAGCACTGTTCACTTTTTATTCACACGCAAGTTATTAG